CCGTTTTAAATTTTAGTAAAATATTTTTTTGCGACTGCTATTTTAACTTTAAAATATTTTTAAATATCAAATTTTGTTCAGTTTTGTGCACTCTTTCGAATGAAATGTGATTCAAAAAAGTGGAACGAAAACGGACGGTTTTATACATAAAAAGCTGAAATTGGTCAATTTTCGAGTTTTTTAGACTTAGGACTTGGGAAAATCTGATTTTCTCCAAAGCAAAATGACTCACAAGGTTTGAAAACGTTTCGTAACCCTGGGTTTTCATGCCGAATCGAATGATTTAACTTTTAACAAAATCTTTTTTTGCGATTGGCAGGCCTGCTTAAGGGTACTCAACTCACTCCTGGAACGTCCCTTAAGTTTTCGAAAAATGGTAGCAATGCCAGTGCCTAATACTGAAAACATATACCCATGCTAAAAATGCTAATTTCTAGTAATGTTCAACCTACTCTGTGCGAGAATCAGTGCTTTTTACAAAAAAACGTTTCCAAAGCTGCCTGGTCTCTAACTGTTATTTTATGTGTCAAGTCCAATCTGTATAATACAATGTAGAATATGAATCCTGGTTAGTTCACGTGGTAAGGGCGTAGTGTAACGAATTGAAATATAGCTAACTCCCTGAGACCGATTTCACTCACCAATTTTTAAATTGTAAGACGTATAATACTTTAACATATATTCAAGATGCTGTGCTTCACATTTAAGGGCTAAAGAGACATAACTTGAGTTTTCATTCACATCATTGTTGATTTTTATCTTATGTTTGTATATTTCAACTATTTTTTCGTTAACTTTCATTTGATCATAATTCGTAGCAGTTTTTTCAAGTGCTGATGTATAAGTTTTCACCGATAGATCAAAATTTTTGTTAGCCGCACTTTGATCATCCATCATCATGTAACAACGGCCAATGTCAGAGTAGGTTTTACCGATATCAATCAATGTCTTTAATTCGTCGTCTTTCTCGTACTCGAGCCAAATTTCTATAACTTTATAGTATGTTGATATTGCAGCAGCATAATTTTCTTCTACTCTTTCTTGATACAAACCGTAGCAATGGATTTCAGCGGCTGAGAGCCACATTTCTGATGGAAATAAATTAATTAATTCGCTGAAAATAATTGTTATTTGCTCCAATGGTGCCATGCAGATACGATATGAAAGTGCACTAACACAATTTTTTAGCATTTTTCTCTCACTCGGACTTTCAATATCTATATGGTCTCTCATAGTATTATCATCATCATCATCATGCATCAATTTCAAGCTCACTATCCAGACATTTTCCGATTCATAGGATACGCTGATGACTTTAAACTGTGTACCGATCATAAATAAAACGTGAAATTCAAAATATGAGAGATTTGCATAAGAACGCGATTTCAGCCGACTATCAATTTCAATTTCAAACAATACATTTTGAAGTTCATCATCTGGTTTCGACCAAATACCATAATGAAATAAGGCCTCCAAGCGACTGTTAAAAGCGATTGCTGAAAAGAAACTATAGCTTACTACGTGGCGAACACGTTCGAAATTTGGGATTTCGCTGCGTGGCATAATTTGTTTGCTATACACCTGATTTAATGGGAATATTCCACTCTTCGCTATTGATTGTCGATAGATATCTTTTATGAAGAATCCAAATAAAAACATGGCTTCAATATTACGTTGACGAAGTACCGTATTCAAGGTCCGAATGATAATGTTTTCATGTCCGTACCATTCAAGAGCATCTTCAGGATTGTACTGCGTCTCAAATTCATTTAACACATGCAGGTGTTGTATACTTCCCTTGTAATACTCTTTTATTGTCTTGATGAATTGTTGAAAACATTCTGTTGGGTATGATAAGCAACACAAAAGATCCACAAATGGTGTCCACCAAGTGCTCGTAGTTCCTGTTGCTTAATCGTGTCCGTCCATCAAATCAAAAACAGCAGAATTTTCACGTTTCATATACGCTTCACTCTCTTCGATCAGCATGCTCAACAAAAGGTTCAGATTTGTAGATGTTTTTCTTATCTAAACCAAAAAACTATACAGCGTGAGAGCTTCAATTATGCAATTGTAGAAACCAGAAGTATTTTTATTGCTCTTTTAAATCAGATGTAATAAATTATCTTTCGATCTACTTTTCAATTAGAAATTCGTGAGTTTTTCATTTGCTTCAGAAAAAGAGCTGATTAGACTTAATTAATAATTTTCGTATACTAAATAAATTTTGTCCTTTTGCTAAAACACATTTTCTGAAACAGCATTCACTTCCCTGCAAGGTCACATTAGTTTTAATTTTTAATGACACATCTTGAGTTCTAAATAACAAATTTTCTCAATGTCATGCCTTTCTCATGAAAAGTGCAGTTTTCTACCAAATCTGACTCTTGTAATACGTTTTTTTACTATTAAGGAGTTAATGAGAAATTCTCGACAGTAGATCGAGCAATACTGTTTGCGCAGACGACATTCTCATCTATTTAGTTTTCAAAAAGGGTTTTCTCCTCAGGTTGCAGTGAAAAATTAAAGAAGAAAGTGCTTTGCAAGAGCATTTTAGGCGACGTTTGATATTTATATTTTTTCTCACTCAAACTCAATTACAAAAAAATTTCGTTTTCTATGTTCCTTGAAGTTCAGACTTTGCTCTTTCTAACGGAAAAACAATGAAATCGTCAGCGCATTAGGAACATGCACAAATAATGCTCGACATTTTTTCCATTTCTTTTGCATCGTATAATATGAAGAAGCATTATCAACTGATACAGCACCTTCGGCCTAAGGCGTGTATTTTTATAAAAGTTATCGTGGACACTCATTACGAATCGATACGTTGTTATTAGCAAATTTTTGAAGGTTTTGATAGTGAACCTGTTTCTAAGGGTCTTAACTTTTCTCTCGGCCACCTTATTGAGCATCAAAAACTGAGTAGATTCTGGAAGTATGACCTCTTCGGATAATAACCCAAAACTTTTAAGGGCCTTTTTGCTTGTATTACAGCGGAACACACGCGCCAAAACATCCTGAAATCTGCAGTTTGTGTTTTCCTGATAATAGAAATCACAAACTTTTTAAATATGCTCAGTTTTTAAAATTCTAGACGATGGCTGACTCTGAAACGTTCCGATCCACCGTAAAACTGAGGTCTCCAGGGAGCAATTTGACAGAAACCCGTTAAAACTTCCAGAGGAGCAAAAACGAAGTTTATATTTGTAATCAGCATCAGCGATAATTTATAAAAACATAAATTTTGCCTGAGAAAAGCTGGGGATATCTCATCAGAACTTATTGTATTCTCAAAAATTAAGTTTTGATATAGGCAGTGGCGGCGTCACCGGGAGCGAAAATTTTGCTCTGATTTACTCCGATTTTACTATTTACCCCCAATGCTCCAGACCTCTTCGCGCCGCCACTGGATATAGGCTTAACTTTATTGGTGAAGGTCTAATCTTGGACTATAGATAATGCGTCTTTCAATGAGGAAGAGGGCGCCAGCCGGTTTTAAAAATCAGATTTATTTCGCAGTTCGGACATTTCTAACTGCTAAGCGTAGACCTAACCGTGGTCAAGAAAACTACTGTCTCAGACTGTGCAACTCCAATCTCATCAGAAATTTCTGTGTTCTACGCCCCAGAATATATCTATGATGTGTTGTGAACAACCCATCACGTCACGCTTTAACTGCTGTAAGTTATACTGTATTACTAAGTTTTGATCCAGTTTACTTACTTTCGTATACGTTTCACAAAAATGTGAAACATCTTCCTCCTTCTCAAGATAAATGTAAATTGATCGAACATTTTTAAGATTATGAATCTTTGGAATCAAAATTTGTCCCTGTAAGCGGGATGTAATCAAATATGTTGTTGTATGAGGTGTTTGTTCAATAAATTTTGCAGTGTCTTGATCATTGCTAAACACTTTTGTATGATGAAAAATGTCTTCCAGTTTCCGCAGGAGCATATCAACACCAACATCAGGAAGTTCAAATGTAACAGAATTTAACCATATCAGTTGATGGGATTCAAGGTTTATATATTCACCAAAACGGTCGTGACGTTGCGCATACCTGTTCAAAGAAATATTTTGATCTCTGTTTTGAAACAATTGAGGTAAGGCTTCAATCGTCATCATAGCAAGAGGTTCTAACTGTGTTACGACAGATGTAGGGACCAGTTTGTTTTGATAAACGAAGTAATGCTCCAAAACTGCTGCGATCACCTCTTTGGTAGTAGGCTTCTTCTTTTCTGTATCTATCTATATATATAAAGAAGAAAGTTTGTTTGTATGTTTGTTTGTATGTTTGTTTGTATGTTTGTTCTCTATGCATTCAGTCCCTGTAAGAGCTAAAGCAGCCAAAATTTGCATGGCACCGTTGGGTCCAGGGGAAGGTCAAGAGGGGGTCGGCGAGACCGAAGGAGGGCGGGGGGGAGTTCCCGCCCAGTTTTCAAAAAGTGGTGGAAAGATTTTCGGATTTTTATGTTCTCCGATTTCTGAGGTACTTGCACCTTGCTGTTATATCTTCGCACTGCCCTTGGTCAAGGGCTACTTTT